ACTGGCAACAGCCCCAAGCCAGAGAGCGCGGCCGAGTTCGGGGCTGAGTTTGGTAAGGACGGCCCCAGGGCAGTGGTGTCTCATCAGCCAGGAGCACCGCTGGGAGAGCTCCAGGGGCTGTCTGTCACCTGTGGGGCAGGAGTGGAGGAGGGCAGGAGTGGGGGTCTGGGGGGCTCCGGGCAGAGCCCGTGCGAGGGGCAGCAAGGAGGGACTGCCGTGTCCCAGACATGCCTACCGTGGGGGTTCTGGGGGGACCGTGCCTCCTCCGAGCCAGCTGAGGGCTGGGCACGCAGGGGTCTGTCAGAGCACTGTGAGAACTGTGAGACCTCCAGGCTGCAGCTCCTGCTGCTGTTCCCCTTCCCTGTGTCCCTGCGTTGGTGATCTTCTGTCAGCAGCAAACAGGAGCAAAATGTGACAGCTGCCCTGGGAGGAGGGAGGGTTCTGTGGGCTGTCCCCAGGGGCTGGGGACACCAGGGTGTCCTGCTGGGGGACAGCAGGGGCTGCAGCCGGCCTGGAGCCCTGGTGAGGGCGGCTGGCTGCAGTGCCGTGTCTCCCTGTCCTCCCTCAGTCCCGCTCACCAGGCTGGCTGAGGAGTCGGACTTCGTGGTGGTCACCTGTGCCCTGACGCCAGCTACCCAGGGCCTGTGCAACAAGGACTTCTTCGGCAGGATGAAGAAAACCTCTGTGTTCGTCAACACGAGCAGGTAGTGGCAGGACAGAGCTGTGCCTGGAGAGGGGCTGTGGCCCTTCCACAGCTGTGGGGGGATCTGCTGGGCTGAGAGTCCAGGCAGCACAGGCAGCCTTCAAGGCTGCAGCCACTGGAGCGTTTGGCAAGGCCCCTGGGAGGGAGCCAAAGGTGAGATAAATCACTTGGGAGCACTCAGCTGCTCCCCTGTTCGGGGCAGCTGGAGCAGGGCAGCTCAGTGCTGGGGGGGTCAGGCGGCTGCAGAGGCTCTGCCCTGTGCTGGCAGTCCTGGGGATGTCACGCTGGCGTTGGCAGGGGGGCCGTGGTGAACCAGGAGGACCTGTACGAGGCGCTGGCCCAGGGGCGGATCGCCGCCGCCGGCCTGGACGTCACCACGCCGGAGCCGCTGCCCACGGACCACCCGCTGCTGTCCCTCAGGAACTGCGGTGAGTGCCGGGCCGGCACCCCTCCTGCCTGCCGCCCGGGGACACGGGGACACGGGGACACGGGTGACACGGACCCACTGCTCCGCCGTGGCAGCACCGGCAGGCAGGACAGCAGGCAGCTGTATTTAGCTGAGCTACTGCACAGTGCAGGGCGCCGCTGTGGGGTAAAAACTCGTCACTGTGATGCCAAACAGGTGTGGGAGCTGTTTGAATTTTCCAGAAAGCCACTGAGATAATCTTTGTGATGGCTCCTCACTCAATGTGTGAAATTCGTGGATGATCTGGTATCAGCAGGTGCACGAAAGAGAAGCCCTTTCACAGCTCAGGCCCTGTCCAGCTCGGGTGTTTGAGGGCTCCTGGGCACGTACTGGGATGGAAAAGCTCCCCAGGGACTGAAGTGGGCTGCTGAGCTGGCCTGGAGGAGTCCTGGTCCTGTGGGCGTGGGCAGCCTGTTAGCTGGGCAGTGCCAGGCTCTGGGCAGGTGGGAACGGGGCAGGCACAGGCCCAGCACTGAGACCTCTCTTCTCTGGAGGAGGATGATGCAGGTGAAGAAGGATGGCTAGGAAGGAGCTTGCTTGGCCCTCACAGGATGTCCTCCCTCCATGGGGAGAGGGTTTCTGGGGTAGGAAACATTCCAAAAAGAAACCATAGGGACCTCCATGAAAATTTGGAACTGCCCATGACTGGCTCTGAGACACAAACCTGTAGCTGCTGTTCTGTTTTGCTAAAACTCTTTTTTTGTTTGTTTGCATTGTTTCTCACAGTAGACAGTGTAAGGAGTAGCTAGAGCAGAGACTTCCTAGAAATATTTGTAGGACTTGGAGATTTAAGAGCTCTGAAACAAGACCAGGCAGGACATAATTCCTACAGGTGTATTCTTTGAACACATATATATTTATATATATATATAAATATATATATATATATATAAATAAATATATATATATATATAAATATATATATATATATATATATATATATATATATATATATATATATATATAAATATATATATATATATATATTTATATATATATATATTTTTATATATATATATATATATTTATAACAGCAATATGAGATACTCATTAGTACACAAATAACACCTACCTGGATGCCATGCCCCCGACAGCCCCAGCAGGGCTGCTGGGCAGGGTGAGGCTGAGCAGTGTCCCTCCTGTCCCTGCAGTGATCCTGCCACACATCGGGAGCGCCACGTACGCCACGAGGAGCACCATGGCCGTGCTGGCAGCCAAGAACCTGCTGGCCGGGCTGCGAGGGGAGCCCATGCCCCACGAGCTGCAGCTCTGAGGGCCAGGCTGGGACGGCCAGGCCCTGCTCCAGGATGTCCTGCTCCAGGATGTCCTGCTCCAGGATGTTCTACTCATCGATGCCCTGCTCCAGCAGCGCCGTGGGACGCCAGCCTGTATCCCCTGCCCTGGGGTGGCCTGGAGCACCACAGGGTGCCATTAAAGAGTAGCAGCAAGGTGTGGTGCTGATGTTATTTGAGACCAGGGCATGTGGTGGGGCTCGCTGCAGGTGCCAGCAGGCCCTGGGGAGGGGCTGCCCCGGGCTGGAGAATGCTTGCCATGCTGGAAGTGCCGTAAGGGAGCTGCTGCAGCAGCATCTGGCCTCCACACCTGGCTGCTGGTCACCGTGAGAGGCCAGGAGTGCCTTCCCTGGGCTTGTAGCCAGGAAGGGAGGAGAGGTAATGGCTTTGTCCATGCAGGCTGCTGCTGCCACAGGAGCTGCTGCCAGCCCACACATCGAGTGGTCCCATGGAATCAGTGGCACTGCGTAATCCTCTGCTTGAGGGGTCTAAAGAAAAGCACAAAACAGGCTTGTGCAGCTCCCCAGGAACCTCCAGCTCTGCCTTTGTATCCCTGACCAATCCCAGGCACGGCTCCAGAGTGGATGGCAAATTGGGAGGATGGCAAAATCCACTGGGATGAACAGAGTGGATGGCAGAATTCAGTGGGAGGATGTGGATGGCAAAATCCACTGGGAGGTTCTGCTACCCCTTTGTAGGCTCTGGCTGCAGCTGCGCTCATGTTTCTCAGATGTGCAGTGACATTTGTTGGTGCAGAGGAGAGCCTGAGCAGGGCCTGAGCCTCCAGCTGCCAGGAGAGCCTGAGGCGCACATCTCGAGGGCTTTGGGGATTCATGTGCCCTGCAGCCACTGTCTCACTTCCAAAAATGGGGGCTGGAACCTGAGCCCACCTCTCCGTGCCACTGATCAGTCATGGAATGGCTTGGGTTGGAAGGGACCTTATGGATCATCTCATTCCACCCCACCTGCCACGGGCAGGGACACCTTCCACTATCCCAGACTGGTGCAGCCCTGTCCAGCCTGGCCTTGGACGCTTCTGGGGTGTGGCTGGCCGCAGCTCCAACGAGCCTGGGGTCCAGCTGGCCCGTCCTGCAGGACGGGGGTGGGTCTGCCCTGGGGCAGGCACTGGCCCCTTGGCCACTTGCCATGGCCCCTTCCATCACGGATGACTGTGTGGCAGACAGGACAGCCCTGTTCCAGCCAGCCACAGCCGTGGGCTGCCCACCCAGCCACCCCACAGGTGTCCCCAGGGTGTGACCTGGAGGTCCCTCACCCATCTCAAACCAGCTCCGAGCACTCCCAGTCCTCATGCCAGGGAACACGCTGCAGAGCACACCTGGACTCGGGCTCCTATTGAGCTGTGGCTCTCCCTCAGACATCCCCCTCCTCCTTCTCCTCCTCTTTCTCCCAGTCCTACCACAGCACTCTGTGCTGTCCAGGCCCACAGAGGACAGAGCAGCTCCTGAGCCATGTCCAGGTTGGACAGTGGTGCCACTGGATGGGTTTGTAGAGGTTTTCCCCCCAGGACAAGCTCCACTGCCCCGCAGCCACCGTGCCCTGCCCCTGGCAGGGGACAGCCAGGAGCACACAGTGGGCAGAGGGAATTGTCCTGGGCTGAGCATCTGGCAGCACCAAAACCCTGGCGTGGGGAGGGAGGCAGAGCCCAGCACACAGCTGTAACACAGCTGGAGCTCACCCAGCACACTCCTGTCCCCTGCTGTCCCTTGTGCCAGATTCTGCTGGGGTCTCCTGGCTGCTCAAAAGCACTCTCTGGTAGCAGCAACAGCTGTGGAAGCTGCCCTGCATCACAGGAGGAACTCTGACACATTTGTCAATAGCTTTTGATTCACAGGCATGGTTGGTTGCCTTGTGCTGGCCTGTCAGACACAGTTCTGGAGGTTTGTAATCTGAACTGAGAAGGGAAGACTTGGTGCTGGGGAGAAGGGAGTGTGCTCTGGGCAGCCCAGCTGGCTGGGGAGTTTCCAAACAAGCCAGTGGAAATGAGGATTGCCTTGGCCGTGAAACCAGGACGAGTCCAGCGGGGGAGCTCACTGCTCTCCAAGATTCCTCAGTGCTGACACTGACGATGGTGGTGCTGCTGGAGCTCTGTGACACTGGAGGATGGTGACCAAGTGTCCGAGAGGTTCCTGGTGATGTCAGGGACTGCCCTGGTGCCTGAGCAGGTGTGTCAGAGTCCCAGCTGCATTAGGAAATGGACACCAGCTGGTGAATCAGCTGCCAAAAGGACTGGAGCACTGGGCTCCACTGTCCACCCCAGAAATCCTTCGAGGCAAGCACCTCCTGCACCTGTGGCATTTTCCCATGAGGAATTCAGAGAGCAGCAGTGACCACGGATCATGACTTTCACAGGTGCTGTGTAAATATTATTTCATTAACAAAAGCAATACAAAGAACTCTACCAGGGACAAAATTATTTTTGACAAAGGTCAGGTTTTTACGACCCCTCGTGCAGTCATGATTTCTCCTGTACAGGCTGGTGTGCAGAGCAGTGAAGCAGTGAAGCCAGGCAGACACAGGACACAGAAACGCAGGGTTTATTTGCAGGTGTTTAGGAACAGACCCCGAGAGCCCCGAGCGAGATCCCCGTGCGAGGTTTGCCTCTGGGCGCGGCGCAGGGCGCCAGCTCTGCAGAGCTCTGCAGGCTGCAGGGCGGCCGCGGCAGCTCAGGCCCCGGGTGCTCACTCCTGCTGTTCCCAGAATTTATTGCTTCGTTCAGGAAGACTCAGAAAGCTGCGAGGCAGCTGCGGGCCCCAGGCCTCACATAACCGACAATGGAATTTAGAGCTGCCGCTTCCAAGAACGCTCCCAGCTTTTTCACAAAGAAAGAACACAGGAGTCCTCCTGCACTGATACTCCACAATCAAATTTTTATAAAACACTGCAAAAGTTCAGTTCAGTGTTTATCTGCTCGTAATTGTTCCTAGTTAGTCTCATTGCGCAGAGATGCTTTATTCCAAAACATTGTAACAATTCAAAAATGTGGATGTGCTACAGGAAACACAAAATGAAAAAAACCAAGCCTTGTTGTTAAAAAGCAAAACACCAGAAATGCGATGAAGATGAAGCAGTGTTACTTAACAAAGCAACAAAAGAAAATATTAAAGTATAAAATACTGCATTTTATTGATGTTTGGGAGACTGTTTATGCAGCTCAATGCTGTTAGTCCCCAATACTGAAATTATTTATAACAAAACACAGCATATCCCACTGCTTTAAAAAAAGTGTTATTTTAATGCTTTAAAAAAAAATCAAGAGCCAGAAATATGACCATTAAGTAAATCCTATAACCAAATATTAATATTTTAAAGTAATTAATCCAACCATCTCCTGTGTTTCTGCATTCCTCAGATGGTCAAGGTGCAAACAACACACTGATAGGGCAGGTGCAGGGAATCCTGTCTCACCTGAGCAGAAGGACACACTGCAGCCTGGACCCAGCCCCTGCTCGGCTGAGCAGCATTTACCATCAGCAGAAATGCCCTGAAAGTTTATTTTAAAACTTCAGAATGCTGAGCACGGTTCGTGTGCACCTTTGGCAAGGAAGAAAGGAGACTGCAGGCAGTGTTAAGTGATGATGGCACCAAAGAAGGGGAAATTAAAAAGAGATTTACATGATTCACATGGAAAACAACAAATTTCTGCTGCGTGCGTATGATGCTTTTTTTTTAAATTAAATTTACACTAGCTTTTTTAAATGTAAGGAGAAAAGTACTTCAGTGGATTTGACAAGGACATTTTACAGAATGTGAGCCAGCTGTGCCCTGGCACACCCTGGGGGTGTCAGCAGCCGGGTGAGGGAGGGATTGTCCTGCTCAGCTCTGCTCTGCTCTGCTCTGGGGCAGCCTCAGACATTAGGCTGTTACTGTCCAAAGGAGGCCATGGGGCTGCTGAGGGTCTGGAGAGGAAACTTTTCAAGGAGCAGCTGAGGGCACTTGGTTTGTTCAGCCTGGAGGAGAGACACCGAGGTCAGACCTCGCCAGGGTCTCCAGCATCCTCCTGAGAGGCAGCAGAAGAGCAGGAACAGATCTCCCCACTCTTGTGAGCAGTGACAGGATGTGAGAAAACAGCTGCAGCTGAATCAGGGGAGGTTTAGGTTGGCTACCAGGAGAGGGTTTCCACACAGAGGATGGTCTGGCACTGAAGAAGCTCCCCGGGGACAGGGTCACAGGCCCAAGGCTGCCTGAGGTGAAGAAGTGTCAGGCACAAGATGGGATTGTTGGGATATCCCCTGCAAGGCCAGGAGCTGGACACAGTGATCCTGAGGGGTCCCTGCCAAGTGAGCATACTCTGTGATTCTGTGCAACACGGCAAAGGGGGATTGCTCCTGACCCAAGGACAGATCCACAGCTGCAGAGGGAAGTCCCTCGGTGCGCAGGGCAGGAGATTGCAGCCTGGAGATAAGAGAAGAGACAACGTGCTCACACCGTAATGGGGAGCAGATGGACTCTGGGCATCTGGGAACAGCGAGAGGCTGCCTTCCGTGGCAAAAAAAGCCATCAAAAAGTCCCTCTCCTTCAAAACAACAGACAAAGACAAGCTCTGTTCAAACTTCTGCGTATATAGAATTGTGACATAGGAGATACAAACTGGTTAAAATACTGCTAGGAATAGCACAAACAAGAGACAGTACTTCACTTACCACTCAATACTCATTTCTACGGAAAAAAAAAAAAACAGCCAAATATCCAGATCTTGCTGTATTAAAGTTATATGTACACCTGGCAGTCCGAAAGTTATTTGTGTGGGATTTAATTTAAGCACCTTGATTACACAGTGTCCTTTACTACAAAACAGCCAAACATACATTCATAATCCTAGAACTATCGTCGTAAGTAGCGTATTTTAAAGCATTATGTCAGACAGGTGCAGCCTAAGCTGTTTTCCTCTTTGAAAGGTAAGGGGTCTGCAGCTCCATCCTCAGGTAATGCAGCAACTCATGTTACAGTAATCATTTAAATGCTTCCACTGTTACAAAACGCTTTAGAGAGAAGACAAAAAGAAAGGAAAGCGCACGTCAGTTTCTTGTTCTCAAACCGTGCTATTTCAGGAGACCCCCGTGCTGTCGCCCCTCTGCCCTGCAAAGGGGCTCTTGGCCGTGGGGGTCGCATCCCCATCCCGCCGCGCGGCTCCCGGCGGCGACACCCGCGAGGTAGGTACCGGATATCCCCAATGGCAGAGCCAAGACTATGTTTGGCACCGTGGCACGCCGGTGTGCGCCCGCCCGCCTGCCTGCCGGGCTCACAGCAAACTGCTGGGCAGGTTGCTGCTCTGCCACCTAAGGCAGGTGGTCTTGGAGTGTTTGTAGAGGTGGCTGGACTGGCTGAAGCGCTTGCCGCACTTGAGGCAGGCGTAGGGCTTCTCCCCCGTGTGCACGCGGATGTGCTTCTTGCAGTCCGTCAGCGTCAGGAAGGTCTTGCAGCAGATCTTGCAGGCGTACTTGCGCGCACCCTCCACCACCAGCACGTTGTGCTCCGACAGGGCCTTCTTGCACTTGGACAGCACGTCAGCGGAGGCGCGCGTCAGCTGCGGCGGGCCTGGCTGCGACAGGTGCCCGCCCTCGAAGGAACTGCCGCCGTTCATCATCAGCTGCGACCCCGAGGAGCTCTCCTGCAGCTGCGAGCTCCGCACCGAGGTCACCACGGGCATCTTGGGGGCGATGCGGCGGTAGCCGGGGAAGCCACCGGCTCCGCCTCTCACAGAACCCATCATGGCCCGAGACAGCGAGTGCAGGCCCAGGCCGGAGCGTGGGAAATCCATGCCGAACTGCTCCGCCGCTCGGTAGCCGGAGCTCTGCACGCATGGCAGACCCATCACATCCTGCATGGGCCGCACGAAGTGGGAGTCTGTGGGCTCACTGAACGGGTTCTCCACGTGCGACACGGCGGCGGACGAGTGGCTGCCGGCGGGCCCCGACTCCGGGCTCATCAGGTAAGGGGCGTCACTGTCCATCCTGCAGTCGCTGGTGGTGTTGGGAATGTTGTCGTCGTTGCTTTGGCTGGCGCCAAAGCCACTTCCCCTGCTTTTATTCAGAAAGTTGGAAATGCTGAAAGAAGACTTGTGTTCCAGGTTGTTGGACACCTCCATGATGTGGATGTCCCCCACCCTGTCGGTGCTGGACTGCGGGTCCGAGAAGCTGCGGTCGCTGCTCTCGGGACTCAGCTCGATCTTCTCTGCGCTCACCACTCCTCCTTCCACCTCCACCGACTCGCTGCCCTCCGCCTGCGAGGTGACATCGCTCACCTCGTCCTGGGGCTCCGGGGAGCTCAGGGGCTCAGACTTCACCACCACCCTCATGTGCTCCTTCTCGTTCAGACTGACCTCGGGGTTTTCGCACGGGAAGTTGCTCTTCTCAGCAGCAGCCTCCTGGTCGTAGCTGGTCTCCACCTGCGTGGCCTGGGACGCCATAGACATCTGGGAGATGTTCCCCTCACCATTGTCCGACTGGCTGGGCACCTGGGCGTCCTCCTGAGCGCCGAAGGACTGGTCGAACATGATCGTGTTGTCCTCCTGGTTATCGGCAACCGCGTCGGCCTTGGAGTTGTCCACGATCTTGAGCGAGTCCGGAGAGAAGAAATCCTCCCGGGAGTGCACGCTGGGCTGCCCGCTCTCAGCGGCCACGTCGGCCACGGGCTCGTCCATGGCGGGGCGGACGCGCTGGCGGGCGCGCTCCTCGGAGGACTGCTTGCGCTTGTGCAGGCGGCGCATGGGGAAGGCGGCGCGCTGCTCCAGCCCGCCGCGCAGCGCCGCGCCCAGCGCGCCGGGCGGCTCCTCGGCGCCCTGCGAGGAGCCCAGCGCCGAGCTGACGATGCTGAGCCCCAGCTGCTGCAGCATGAAGGAGCGCTGCAGCCGCGCGCTCTGCTCCTGCGCGGGCTCGCTGGGCGGCGACAGCGGCAGCGTCCGCGTCGTCAGGTAGTGCTTGCAGGCCTTGACCACCGAGTTGAGGTGCAGGTGCGAGGCGGCCAGCAGCACGTCCATCACATTGCTCTCGCCCAGCATCAGCGTGGACGTGTACATCATGTCGATGAGCGCGGCGAAGGCCTCGGCCGTCACCACCTCGCTGTCCAGCTGGATCATGTTCATGCTCTGGTCGCCCTCGGCCACGGTGAAGAGCGCGCGGAAGTGCGTGCTGCAGGCGGCCAGCACCGAGCGGTGCGCCTTGAAGTGCCGGTTGCCCACCACGATCACGCAGTCGCACAGCTGCCCGTGCAGCCGCTGGTAGTTCAGCTGCTGGAAGACCTGCTCAAAGTGCCCAGGGAAATCCATGGTCCTGCAAAAACACAAGAGAACCGCTGTGTGGGCCGCCGGGCTGGCCGGGGGAGCAGCTCTGCTGCAAGCAGAGCATGGCTGAACTGGGATTGTGCAGCCTGCAGGGCGGCCTCACCACGGCCTTCCAGGCCTGAAGGGGCTACAAGACTATTCATGGGAGTCTGCAGTGAAGGAGAACAGGGACTGGGTTCAAACTGAAAAACAGCAGCACAAGATGGAACTGTTCCCTGGCAGGGTGGGCAGGCCCTGGCACAGTTGTGGCTGCCCCTGGATCCCTGGCAGTGCCCAGGCCAGGCTGGACACTGGGACTGGAGCAGCTGGGACAGTGGGAGGTGTCCCTGCCCTGGCTGGGGTGGAAGAAGACAAGGTGCCCTCCCAAGCCAAGCTGCTGTGTGATCCTACGGCTGAACTCCTGGCCGGGCTGCAGCCAACCTGGCAGCTAGGACAAGAGCTGACAGCTGACAGACAGACAGACAAACAGCCCTGAGTGTCCCACCAGCACATGGGCACAGCACCAAAGGCAGGTCGGGAGGACAAGAAGGAGCAGTGACAACACCACGAGCCTGAGCTCAGCACCAGCCACACACAGGCAGCTGTGCTGGAGCCCAGACTGCGTGGGTCTCCTCACACCCACACCTACTGTGAAACAGTCGCTTCTGGTTGGTGAAACTGATCGAAACGACCTGCTGTCCCTCTGACACACTGCTAGCACACCTGGGCAACCTTCCCCAGAAAAACACGGCACTGCCCAGCCAGCCAAGCAGCCAGCAGCCGGGGCTGGCTTCTCCCCAGTCCTCACCGCCTAACATCAGACCTGTCCTGCAGATCAACCTCAGGACCACGGAGGTGACCCTCAGAGTATCTCCATTTCTCCCCGTGCCGTGTAAGGCTCGGTGAGCACTCCCCAGGCACACACACAGCAGTTCCTGAGCTCACATTATTCTGCAGCAGCACTGACGGGCACGGGACCCCAGCACAGCCAGAAGGAAAGGGCACAATGCAGCCAGAGCCCAGCACAGCCAGAAGGGCCCAACACAGCCAGACCCCAGAGCAGCCTGAAGGAAAGAGCACAACACAGCCAGACCCCAGTGCAGCCTGAAAGAAAGGGCACACGGCCGGGATCACACTTTGAGGAGGGTGCACAGCAAGGTCCGTCCTCAAACACGGAGCTGTTTGCTGCTCTCTGCTCCCTGCCACCGCTGCCGGTGCTGGCCGGGGGCTCTCCCCGGAATCCCAGCGTGTCCTCGGAGGGAGTCACAACGGCAGATCGTTCACCTGGCATCACCTGCACTGTTCAGCACGGGAAAATGAAGTGATTTAGAGCCTCTGAGAGTCCGGAACGTCACCCGACCTGCGATGACTGGGTTCTCCTGCCGGGAGCTGCTCTTCCCGAGACACTGCCCCATTCCCCCGTTTTCTCCCCGTTATTTCCCCGTTTTTCCCTTACGCACCACCGGGACCAGCCAGCATGCGTGCCCCTCCCAGAGGAGCACCTGCCCCGCCGCGCTGCACCAGCAGCGGGGACCGCGCAGCGGGCACTGCGCTCCGTGCCGCGCACGGCCGCACCGGGGACACCGGAGAGCCACGGTGTCGCCCGGCGCTGGGCTCCGCGGTGTCCGCCCCCCGCCGCCGCGCTCACCTGCGGTGTCCGTGCGGGAAGGGCGGTGCGGGACGGGCGGTGCGAGGCTCGGGATCGGGACCGGGATCGGGATCGGGCCTGGGCTCGGCCCCGGCCCCGCTCCCGCCCCGCCGCGCCGACACCCTACGTCACTTCCGGCCGCGGGCGGCGCGCGCCGCGCCGGCAGCCAACCGGCGGCCCCGTTACTTCCAGGCGGCGGTGGAGCCTCACCTCACCCAATGGGGACTGGGCTTATTGCCGCGACCGGAAGCACCAGCGGAAGAGGCGGAGGAGCGGCATCGGCACCGGCACCGAGCGGCGTCCCCGGCCCAGCCCGGCCCAGCCAGGCCCAGCCCTCACCATGGCCACCGCCACCGCCATCTGGCGCTACCGCGGGGACCCCGAGCCGGAGCTGCCGGCGGCGCTCGGTGAGCGGCCCCGCGAGTAGCGGCGGGTCCCGGGAGTGGCAGCGGCCCCGGGGGTGGCGGCGGCCCCACGCCTCACGGGCTTTCCTCTCCCTTAGTGCGGTTCGCCAACGGCCGGCTGGAGCGGCCCGACTCGCTGCGCTTCGCCGCGTACCGGCACCGGGAGGCGACGCACCCGCGGAAGAAGCACCACAGGATCCTGGTAAGCGCCCGGCACCCGCGGTACCGGAGTACCGGGGTGCGGGATGGAGCGGGAGTGGCACACGGCGGGGCAGGGGCGGATAACGGGCTCAGAGCGGGGGGTGTGAACCATCCTGGTGTCTCTGGGTTCCCCAGGAGCTCTCCTGGTGTCCCTCAGCCCTCTCCAGGGGTCTCTCCCACTTTCCCAGGTCTCGGAGACGGAGCGGCTCTGCTACGTGGGGCACAACTTCGGCACCGACGGGACGAAGTGCAGCTCCCTGTGCAGGTGAGGAGCACGGGGCTAGCAGAGCACTGCTGGGGGCTAGCAGAGCACCGCTGGGGGCTAGCAGAGCAGCACATGGTGCTAGCAGAGCACCGCTGGGGGCTAGCAGAGCACTGGGTGGGGCTAGCAGAGCACTGCTCGGGGATAGCAGAGCACTGGGGGGGGGCTAGCAGAGCACTGGGTGGGGCTAGCAGAGCAGTGCTCGGGGATAGCAGAGCACTGGGGGGGGGCTAGCAGAGCACTGGGTGGGGCTAGCAGAGCACTGCTCAGGGATAGCAGAGCACTGGGTGGGGCTAGCAGAGCAGTGCTCGGGGATAGCAGAGCACTGGGTGGGGCTAGCAGAGCACTGGGGGGGGATAGCAGAGCACTGCTCAGGGATAGCAGAGCACTGCTCGGGGTTAGCAGAGCACTGCTCGGGGATAGCAGAGCACTGGGGGGGGCTAGCAGAGCACTGCTCAGGGATAGCAGAGCACTGCTCGGGGATAGCAGAGCACTGCTCAGGGATAGCAGAGCACTGCTCGGGGATAGCAGAGCACTGCTCAGGGATAGCAGAGCACTGCTCGGGGCTAGCAGAGCACTGCTAGCACTGCTCGGGGCTAGCAGAGCACTGCTCGGGGCTAGCAGAGCACTGCTGGGGCTAGCAAAGCAGCACACGGGCCTCACACTGGTGAGCCAGTGGTCTGGGGGCTGCTGGGCTGCTTGCCTGCAGCTCTGAGGATCATGAGCTCTGGGAGGAAATTTGGAAATTCAGCTGTTGTTCAAGCTATGGCCATCGAGTCCTGCCTAGCAAAAAGAAAGGGAAAAGGAAACAGCAGAATGTTGGCACCTACACTTTAAGAGAAAAAAGCAGAATTCTGGCACCTACACTGTACCGAATTCAGTTGTTTTTAGGACTTCTGCACTTACTTAGAGTATCAGTTCTTCTGTTGTTGTGTGCACACATGCCATGGAGGAGCCTTGGCTTATTGTAGTGCTGTGTGTGCAAGGCAGGAGAGCTGCTGGGCTGTGAGACAACCATGACATTGAAATGATTTCTGCTCTCTGCCTCTCGCTGATCAGTGCCCTGTTCTCCCCAGGTACTTTGTTGGCGTGCTGGACAGGAGCTCTGGGCAGATGGAGGTCTACAATGCTGAAATATTCAACATGCAGCCCCTGCTCTCAGGTGGGAGGTGCTGGCAGCCCGGGGCTGTGTCCTGGTGCCCATGGCAGGGACAGGGACAGCTCCTGCACAGCCTGGGAGGGGGAGCACGGCTGGGGGCTCAGCAGGGACTCTACAGGCGGGGAGGCACTCACAGAGCCTCACTGCTCAGGTGCTGCCTTCTCTGGGAGCCTTCTGCTGAGGGAGCCTGACCCTCAGCAGGAATTGCACCCCTGAATAACAAAATAAAACCAAAAACCCACAGGTTTTATCCAGCAGGGCTGCTTTTTGTCATTGCCCAAAGGGTCACATCTATTGTGGCTGATTTTTACCCTGAGCAGCAGGACGTGGGCTGGGCCATAGTCCATATATTGCATGTAAGGCTTTGAAGAAGAAGCCTTTTTTCCTAGGTTCTCATATTTGTCATGTCCTTTACTGAGCCAGGGGACATGGAGCAGGTCCTGTGCCCAGTCTGTCGGTCACAGAGCCAAAGGAATTCCTGTCCTGCTTCTTCTGTGCAAGCAAACTGACTCTTGCTGTTTTGTAGATAACATGATACCTGACGACACAAAGGAGTATCAGAAGAAATCCTACAGGGAGAAGGTAAGGTTGGAGCTGTGTCCTGCTCTGCTGTGACTGTCCAGCTGTGAGGGGCTTGTCTGCAGCCTGGGAGGTTTGCTGTCCTGTAGGGTGAACCTGTGCAGGGCCAGCATTTTCCCAGTGTCCAGGAGGCAGCATGAGCATTGCCTGGCTCAGGAGCATTTTCCTCATTTTCTTGGTTTACCTGGTTATTGCAGGCTGGTCACCAGCCCAGTGACCTCCTGCCCCTCGCAGAGCAGCGCACCCTGCACCTGCGGGTCCTGCCACAGGAGGAGTTTAAAGTGTGGGAGGAGCAGCAGGGTTTGTGTTCAGTGTGTGTTCCTGCCTTGTGCAGGTGGGTTTGGGGTTTGTGTTCCCTGGGTGCATAGGTTTCAGTGTGTGTTTCTGTTTGTGCAGATGGATTTGGGGTTTGGGGTTTGTGTTCCCTGGGTGCACAGGGAGTTTCAGTTTGTGTTTCTGCCTTGTGCAGGTGGGTTTGGGGTTTGTGTTCCCTGGTGCACAGGGTGTTGGATTTGGGGTTTGTGTTCCCTGGGTGCACAGGGTGTTGGATTTCCCTGGGTGCACAGGGTGTTGGATTTGGGGTTTGTGTTCCCTGGTGCTCAGGGTGTTG